TTTTTGCAGTCTATCATTTAAATTACTTAAATAAAGGGAGCTTTACTGCTCCCCAAAGCTGAGGATATAACACCCTCCATGCATATTAGCTTGATCTTCTTGACAGACCAGAAAAGTGTTTGTGTGTGCCAATTAAAACAAAAATGGATCCCTAGTGACTTGTTCCTCGCACAACTTCTGAAGACTGCTATCACTGTTTGCTAGGGTAACCCTGGATAAGGCTGCTATCCAAAGTAAACAAACTTTTCAAAACTTTCATGACAGATGGGGGGGGGTTACAAATGCATTTTAATAAGAAAGTTGCCAAAGCAACTTTAAAAAAAATCATTATATATCTACTTAACATCTAGCAACATTGGGAACACAAGGCAGGTATTTTCTCACAAATGCTTTAACAAGTAACATTTTTTGGAAAGACAAATTGAAGACCTTTTACTTCAAGGTAATATTTTACCCTTAGTTTTATGTTAACTTTGCTCTGACATGTTTTTTAAAAAATGTTAAGAGTTACTCAAGCAGACTGAAATTTGAGACAGACATGCTGCCTGATAATGTAATTCCTCTGGTGGTCATAAAACCCTATGGGACAAAGTAATTTAACTGTGTGTATAATCATAACAACCTGTATTTGATTAACAATTGACAATATCAAATGTGGAGTGTTCTTGAAAGATGAAAAACTGTGAATCTGCATTTTGCTTTAATTTTATATCTTGATATTTCATTGTAATATAGCCTACATATATTGCACTGTATTAAAAATACATAACCCAAATTAATATCACAAAGATAATTTATACTTATTTCAAGTAAATTTAGTACAGTTGAACACCACTTCTTATTTTTACTTAAATTAATACATATAGACTGATTTCATCATGAAGAGATTGGGTGTTTTGGGAAAGAAAAGAAAGGCAAGAAGGAGGAAGAAAGAGGCAAGGAAAGGAGACACTAGGGGTACCGTGTTGTCTTTTAAAACTGTCCCATCAGTAGCATAACAATAAGGAAATAATTTTATCCAAAGTCACTATTCCAAATTTCAGAACTGAAACCAAATCATTATTGCCGCCCCCGCCCCCCCGTTTTTTTGTTACTGGGGATCGAACGAGGAGACCTTGCTCTTACAAGGCAGGGCCCAGAACCACTGAGCTAAATCTCTGGCCATTATTGCCCTTTACTTAACCACGTAACACACATACAATCCTTTATAGTAGAGGACTGCTGAGAACTAGTGAACTAGAAATTGAGATCTTTGTAATCTTTTAATTCTCTTATTCTAAATGATGACAAACTGATAGAATGCCATTTTCACTTCTAATTTGCTTCATTTTCTTCATTTGCAAAATTATCTTATGATAGTGGAGGGAAGCTGCATTTGGAGAATGTTTATTATGTGCTTTGAGATCATTAAAGCCGATACCACTTTGCATACCAAGTGGTAGTATTCATATCCTTAATATACTGAAGTTCTGATATAATCAACCTTTAAAGAATAACATATCATGACCAACAGTTTATATATAATTTCATGATGTAAATGTGACTGCAGAAATTATTCCTTCCTATGAAATCTTGACGTGAGCATTGTCTATGCCACTTACATTGAGACTAAGTACAAGCTATTTTCTGTTGTTATTTATCTGTATGCATCTGTCCTAGTATCCAAACAGATTGTGAGTTCTTGAGGGTGGGGTTTATGTATGCCTAGCTTCTATCAGTGTGTCTCGTACCTTACGGATGCTTAGTGAGTTGTTGATAATCAGGGGGATGTTCCGTTATGAACATGTCCTCTCAGTCCCCTGAAAATGGTGTTATATGTTGGATTTATTCTTCGCTTGGAATGGTGATACATCAAAGAAAGAGGAGCACAGTCTCTCTTGTCATCGTTTGCAATTTTGGAAATCTCCTCATGTGTATTTGAAGTCACCAGAAAGAAAGAAGACAATATTGAACAATAAGATATGTTTTCCTGATGAGGTATCTATCAATAACATAAATTTATCTATTGATCATTATCAGTCATTTAGCTATTATATATCAAAGAGTAGCAATAACTAAAATTAAATGTTTACAGTATTTACTCTATGTAACTATGAGCAATTTTCATTGGATTCATTACTTTTCCCATAATCCCTATTACTCTCATCAGAAAAAAAATTCCATAAAAATTTTTGTTTCTATTATAAAAAATGAAAACATGGAAAATTTTAGTAGCATAAACAGCATTCTACATATTAACATCTCGTTTAAGTCCAACTCTTAAGTCCAGGCCAGGAATTTAGCTCAGTGGTGTTACCGCCTGTCTCACAAGTGCAAGGTTCCGAGTTCTATCTCTGGTACCAAAAAAAAAAATCTAAGTCCATAAAATCCCACTGTTACAATGAATATTGGTGAGGGTGATATGTAATTGAAAATACTGAAAAAGACTTGCTGAAAAATACTTACACATATAAATACTACTCTTTATAATACTTATATAATATTTCCATTAGTGTAATAAAACTCAAATTTAAATCTTTAAAAAGCAAATTTGTTCCCTTTACATCTCTTATACTTGGTGCCTGGAGCTTGCACATACTTGCCTCCACCTTCAAGGAGCCAGAAGCACACAGACCAAAATTCTAAATTTAAGGGGAAAACTATTATTGAATTAATACCCCCCAAAAGCCTTAAGGAATGCTTTTATTCAGCACATTGCTCAGTGGACGTGCTTATATCATTTCCTCAACATGAATTTCCTACGAGAAAGAATTGAAACAAGCCTTATTTAGTGTGAAAAAGTTTAGATTAGAGCAAATTTACCCAGATATGTACCTACAGATATTTATTATTCACAACACTAGGGTATTTCATTAAGACTATTTTGTGGCCCTATTATATTTTTTCAAAATATGACATAGTGGAGATGAGAGGTTTCACTTGGACATTTGAATAAAAAAGGTTTCTAAGCAAAATGGAGACCAGCAGCTCTTAACTAAAGCCCTCCCTTCATGGGCTTACCTCCAACGCTGGACACATAGGAAAGACATGGTAGAGAATTACAAGAACACGCCTTGGAATCTGTCCTTTATGCCTTGTTCAACATCACTTTAGATTGGCATCAAGTGTTGTTCTGGCAAAGGGATCAGTCAAAGTTAACATTGTTCTGGCAAAAGGTTCAGTTAAAGTTAACAGTCTTTACTGATCACTTTTTTCCCCCCAAGAATGTTGAAAATTTGATTGTTCAAAGTACAATTATGATTCAGCAACCTATCAGAAATTCTAAAGAGGTAATGTAAAAAAGTGGACAGAGAAATCTGAATTAAATGGAATTTACCAGCCAAAGATTTTTGAAACTACTTTGCTGTGAATGCCTGGAATGGAGCAGAACAAAGTCAATTACTGACTGTAATTAAGAAGTGGATGCATTTAAACTGTAGAGAGCAGTAGCAGACTTCTCCAGACTGCCTGGTAACTCGGAAGATTAGTGGGAAGACAGGAAAGGATGTGAACTGAATGTCTCTGATAGTATGATTTGAATGAATTACATTCATATAGTTCCCTCATCTAGCATCCTAAAATGAATTTGTAAATCACTTATTATGTATGATTAATGCAGTAATATATTTGGACAAAGAAACTTTAAAAATACATTTTGCTTTTGGTTGTGTTAGCAGTGAAAGATCCCCTTTGCATTGTATAGCATGCACCAAAAATGCAAATGCACTGCTGAAGTACTTACATTTTATAATTGTTTGAATTAGTAGGCCAAAGACTGAACTATGTTGCCTCTTTCTGCAACACTCAGAATATAGTAAATCTAATTATGTTTGTTTTTTGTACTTTTAAAATGCTGTTCCTTCTTATAATTTTAATAATGGCTTATTTATACTGGCAGAGAAATATTAGATTATACATTTTGCTTGGACTAATTCATTTCTCTCTGTATATAATAACAAATTATGATATTGTATAATACATTCATAATCAAAATATATAAACTTAGGATAAAGTTAGAGGTCAAAGACATTACTAGTTCTCTTGTGTTAGTCAGAAGCGACCTTATATTTTTCGATTGTATTTCTGCAGCAACACTTTATAAAGTAAATATTTGGGATTTCATGTAAGTAATGCAAGTTGTAAAGGTGTTCAGATAATTTGGCAAATATCAGTTTAGCCATTTTTTATTGAATGTATAAACCGAAGGACTGTTTTGAGCTATTTAGGCATTCCAAATCTTACATGCAATTGGAGAGAGAGAGAGAGAGAGAGAGAGAGAGAGAGAGAGAGAGAGAACGATTGGTCCCAGTGATCTGTCAAATTGTTGTGTGGATAATTAAATCCTATTATATTCCAGGGTTTTTTTTACTTCTTATAATTGCGTACAGTCTGGACAGCTCTTATCATTACAGCAGTATGGACCAAATTTAATATTAGGACTCATGTCACTCAAGAATGCTTGCTTTTAGGTATTGAAAATTTTGTATTTCTATGGAGTTTTTCTGAAAACAAACAAGCAAGTGGAAAGTTGAAGACCTTTTAGAAAGTTCTGCATTAGTCTCTCTGATAAATAATCTGTTTTAGAATCCTCCATAAAAGGAAATCAAATATAGAGATATTATTAGATTTTTAAAAGACAAACAGGAAAGAGCCAAAAGTACAGAATGAATTCTGACACACCGGGTGCATTTCTCTGCAGCTTCCAATTTAAGCATGCACTGTTCATCACTTTGAACATCCTGCCTTATTTCTCTTGAAGTTGGAGTGATTCAGCTTTACCCCTACTCTAAGTTATTCGTCCTATTATTAAAATACTAATGTGTTTGTTATGACATGAAAAAATAGTTTATAGAGGTCAGTTCAGAATGATCCTAGACACCCAGTTCCCATAAAGACAATTACTGGAATAGAAGAAAATATTTCAATGCCTTAAACTGTGTTTTTTGATGAAGATTTTTCTTTTTAAATGTAAGAAATCTATCTCACATGATTTTCCTACCTGTCAATTTTTTTATTTCCAGATTACAACAGCGTCAGGAAATGAATTCCTTCTACAGTCAGACATTGACTTCATCATACTGGATTGGTTCCAAGCTATCAAAAATACAATTGACAGAATGGTATGTATTTATTTTGGCTTTTACCCTTATTAATTAAAATGTAGTCATTTAAATCTTACTGCTCAGGCATATAACATACACACACACACACACACACACACACACACACTTAAGTAGATCCTGTGAACTGAGAGACACTAAATTCTTTTAAGTTTAAAAATGTAGAATCTTCTATGAACATTTTCAGCAGACAGGATTTGGGGAACTGAATGTTACTTAATTTCTCTTTCAAAAAAGTTATGATTTTTTTCTGAAATAACATGAATATTCATTTACTGGAAGTTGTAAAAAAGCACATAAGACCTTAATAACTACTGAATTTTTACATTTTCAGTTTATTCAGTCTCTATTAAATATTCTTAAAAATAAATATCATTGTGTTTAAAACCATGCTTACTCTTATAATGCCAGTAAATAATAACCCTTTCTACTGAATTTTATTATTCTTCTGGCTAAGCTAGATTATGTCATGAAAATCACATATCTAGAACTTCATGAAATTATCTTAAACCAGATACAGAGTAAGTTTTAAAAGAACTAAATTACTTAAAACTAATCATTCTATAGTGACTAATTTTACCTCATTAATATTTGCAAAGTCCTGAGGAAAACATATTGTTGAGAGTTTCTGATACAGTATACAAGAGGAAGAATAAAATATTTTCTGTGTGATTTTTCTGACAGATGAAGTCTTTCATTATATAATTTTGGGGTGAAAATTTAAAAATAAAATAAATTAACTTTTCCCCATCATCCATAAAATCCTCATATATAGACACCAATACACAAATTATTGTCTCTAGAATAGACTCTGGGACCAGCCTGCCTGAAAATTGGTCCCATCATTTACTAGCTGTTTGGCCTTGGGCAAAGTACTCTTTTGGCCTCAGTGTCTTTGTCAGTAATAAAGTTGCTGCCTACCTCATAGGATTCCTGTGATGATTAATTGCATTAATGTATGTAGAATGCTTGGAATAATTCACATTTAGTAAGCACCATGTGCCTGTATGAACTATTATTAAATTTGAGTGTTAATCTTAGCATAGAGGCATATCCCAAAATAATTAACATATTTCAAACATCTCTTTACATGTAACACCAAAATAGACCACAACACTATTTGGTTAATCCTTTCTTCCTAGTAAATTTACTGAGTCTTATTGTTTGTTCTAGCCAAAAAATCCGAGTTGTCCCTCCAGAAAGCTGGAATTATTCCAAATCCAGAGATCCTCTAGTACTGAATTGTTAAATCACTATGATAGTGATATTAAAGAACAGAAACCTGAGCACAGAAAATCTTTAAGTGAGTATTTCTTTGATTTGTTCATTTTAACTTTGTCTAAATGCCGTGCTTATGAAATATAAATGCATTGAAGTGAGATTAACCCAAATGTATACTCCTCATGGAAGATTCGCAGTCACATCCTGGCCATGGATTCATGCACTGGAGGGCAGTCTGGGCACTTCGCACACATCATTATCGGTAATGCCTTTTGAGAAAATAATTGTTCCAGGGTCGTGGTCTCTGCTTACAGAAAGCCTCTGAATCTCTGAGTAACAGCCATGGAGTTCAGAGAGGTGATTGATTTTGAAAGTGGGAAATGTCAAGTGTCTCCAAACCTTGATATGCTAAGTATTTGATTTCCATATATTAAAAAATATGAGTGACCACCACGGTTGGTCCAAACTAAGCCAACTTGCCACACTTTGGATGACCAGAAAGATGTAGAAATGCTCATGCCCATGGTAGAAATGGAAAATGTGAATTACAAGTTTTCCAAGATCTTACCTAGTTCTACTATTCTAAAAGTCCTAAATAAAAAGAACTCACACAGTGATGTTCAGTTTTTTAAATCTTCTCACAGTCTGCTGCTGCTTCTTCAATAAAAGGGAGTTATTAAAACTGTATTTCAGAGTTGATTTGAGTCTCACCTTTCTGAAAGAACAAGTAAATATCTTCGAAGTCAGAGAAAACCAATTTTTCAAAGTCTTAAAACTCATAGAATCCTTCTTGGATCTTTTACCTAGCCATCCCTAATCAAAATCATCATTTTTAAAATAATTTCTCTCTGGCCAAAGATCAGTATAACTACAGAAATCAGTAAATTCAAGAAGTATAAAAGTTTCTTGAATTTGATGGCAACTCAATAAGTTGAGGAAGGGCTGCTAATGGAATATAAATATATATACATGTAGATACATAAGTATTCTAGATGATTCTATGTTTATATAGACAGATATGTTTACTGGGGAAGATATATATGTATACATGTACACATACATGCAAATAAACACTTGTACATACATGACAAGAAAGAAGGAAGCTATACCTAGATGATTATATATCTTCCAAACCTGAATTGTTGAGTGCCACAAATCTAGAAATTACATGAGAACTGAGAGTAGCAGGACTTTTGAAATTGTCATTGTCAAAAGATCTTGTTATAATGTTCAACAACTGCCAGATCTATATTCATTTAGTGAATTGTGCTATGTTAGCATTTAAGATTATCAATGGCAATGTCAAAAAAAAAAGTATGGTGCATTTGTGAAGAGTTAACAATGCCATTCAAAAAGATTTTTTCCATTTCTCTCTCAGTGAGTCTGTCATTGGTGTAGAGGAAAGCTATTGATTTTTGTGTGTTGACCTTGTAACCAGCTACTTGACTGAATTTGGTTATTAAGTCTAGAAGACTTTTGGTGGAGTTCTTGTGGTCTTCTATATAGAGTATCATGTCATCTGCAAATAATGACAATTTGACTTCTTCATTACCTATCTTTATTCCTTTTATTTCTTTCTCTTGTCTAATTGCCGTGGCTAATGTTTCCAGAACTATATTGAACAAGAGTGGTGATAGTGGACATCCTTGTCTTGTTCCTGATTTTAGTGTGAAGGATTTCAGTTTTTGACCATTTAGTATGATATTGGCTGTTGGTTTTTCATAGATGGCTTCTATCAGTTTGAGGTAGAGACCATCTATTCCAATTTTTTGTAGGGTTTTATCATAAATGCATGCTGGATTTTGTCAAATGCTTTTTCTGCGTCTATGGAGATAATCATATGGTTTTTGTCCTTGGCTCTATTGATATAGTGTATTACATTGATTGATTTGCATATGTTGAACCATCCCTGCATCCCTGGGATGAATCCCACTTGATCAGGGTGTATGATCTTCTTGATGATCTTCTGCATTCTGTTTGCCATTATCTTATTTTTCATAGGATGATACAGACTTGAGCTATATCATTTAAAGTACGGGTCCTCACAGGCAAGGTACTGGTCAGTGCCTATTAGTAATAGGATTACACAGCAGGAGGTGGGCAATGGACTAGCAGACTAAATTTCCTCTCCATTTGTGTCTATAGCCACTCCCCATCCCTCACACTATCACCTAAGTGAGTCCGGTTAGCGCAAGGCAGGCATAAGATTCTCATAGGACCCTGTACCTACTATAAAGTGAATATGCCTGAGGTCTAGAATGTGTGCTTCTTATGAGAATCTAACCCTGAAACCATCCATACCCTCACCCTGGCCTGTGGAAAATTTGTCCTCCTTGAAACTGATCCCTGGGGCCAGAAAGTTGGGGACTGCTGATTTAAAGAATACTTAACTCCTGCCTGTTGTCCTCTTTTGCTTTACATGGAATCAGACATAAGTAAAATTTCAGAATTAGAATTCAGTTGTATGTATTTAGTGTTAATTATGTAGATATTTTGTAGTAAACATAAAAGAATATGTGATTAATGTATCTGGAATCTCCGATACAATTTCTGGTTTAGAAGAGCACTTGGCATGCTCCTACAGCCTAAAGCTATGGAGAAAAATAAAGGTTTACAAAACTATGTTTAAGAAACATTAAGGCTAATGGATTCTATATTAAATAGTAGCTACTTTAAACATTTTAGGATGCTGCTGGGAATTATATATTATAGAATTATATATTATATATTATATAGATAGAATGCTCATGATTTCTCTGTAGAACTTATTGTTTCATTGAGAAAGACAGTTATTTACTTTGGGTTTAAATTAAATCCAGTTTAAAGACAAAGAGACACATTATTTTTTCTATTTCTTTCAAGATGCACTTGAATTGTATGGTGATTTCATATTCACCATTTCTTTGAAGGTAAAAAAAAAAAGCTAGTGATAACTAGAAAATATTGTATACTTACTTTATTACAATGGTGTTCTAAGTGCTTGTCTTATATTGAATCACTTAAAATTTCCAGCAATCATATGAGGTAGGTACTACTATTAATTCTCTTTTATAGATGAGGACACCAAGACATGGAGAATTTGGATAGAAATAAATACATTAAAACTTATAAATAAGACCCATAGAAAACAAAAACATAAATTGAGACCCCAAAACACTTGTTAGCAAAAGAATTAAGACAAGATGGTCTCTTTGGGAATTGATTAAGTCCAAAGATAAAATGGTCATTTAATCTTTAATGCTAATCTTAATTTTATAAAATATTTCTTTTCTATATCTTCATAAATATGCAAAATTGTAAATCTTTACTAATAGTATAGTAGTAATAGTAATAATATACTTCTTTAGTAATATTAACAGTATATTTTTGAAAGGTAGGACACAGTTAATATTTTTTACTTAAAGTTCAATCAATATCTATGTATTAATTTTCATTGAAAAGACATAATGATTGACCCACCCATGAAATATCAAATTATTCTACGTCTGTAAAATATTTAAGCCTTTATTTCTATATTTAATGTTTTTAAATTTTTTCCATTAGGAAATGCCCTGTGTAAAACTCATCTGATCTTGATCCTTGATTTGAACACCCAAATTTAGATTTCTTAAAGCATACATTCAGTTTTATGTCACCCTCTGGAAATAAGTAATTATGTGGAGTCAGAGATTCACAGTATCCTCTTCCTTATTAATAGTCAAAGTACAAACTTTATTGCCAGTTAGCTGCCTTTGGCTTCCTGAGCCCTTGATGTTCCCACAAGTTTTGTCGCCAAGATTGTAGTCAGATAAAGCCAGAATTACTTTTTGAAAAGGCATGTGAACATCATTAGCAGCTAACAGGTGGTCATTCTTTGGGTCCAGTTTGTCTATTTAACATGGGAAAAATATGTTCTCTCAATGAGTAGATTCAGAAAGTTATGTTAAATTATAGTTTCCCTTTTAAAATATGATTTTAACCTGCCAACACTATTAAGTACTAATCAGATATTTTAAGATATCAGTTGAGGCTAACAGAAGAAGCCAGAAAAATCACTGTAAGGGCCAAATTACTGTGGGAAATTCAGGACACCAGCCTGAAGGAGAATAGGAGAGCAGCTCTCCAGGGAGGGCTGCAATGCAAAGTGGGGAGCCAATCAAAGACAAGGCTAACATATTTCTCCAAGGAAAATGAGGATCTTCTACTGATGGCAAAGAGGAGAGGCCCAAATACAAAAATGTTATCAGATAACCCTAGAGAAGTTTAATTTTTCTGAGCTTTATTTTCCAGATCTATAAAAATGAGTCTGGTAACATTCTTACAGAACTGTGTGAAAATCTGAAATTAGAGATATAAATACTAACCCCCCAGCAGGCCCTCAATAACTAGGCACTCTTACTACAATCCTCTATGTCCCCAAGCAGATGGCATCCAACAGGGCATAAGCCAAGGGCAGAATCTGATGGAAGGCCAGAGCAGGGAATATATACTTGACATCCTACTCCCTGAGTGTACAGAAAATAGAGGAAGCAGCCAGGATTGGATATGGAGTTATAGCCCCAAAAGTCTGAACATGAGCAGCTGGTCTTTCCCCTGGCACCTCCCCAGGTGAAAATGGCAGCCAGGGCATTCTTGGGAGCAATATAACAGGGCATAGTAGGCCAAGAGATATGCTTGATTCCCTTATTCCCAGAAGAGCATGACATTGTGGAGTTCAGCTGATGGAAAAGATTAACATCTAGCTATTTCAGTGTTCCTTTAGACACAGCTCTAATCTTTTCACTCATTCACTTGCCTTTCATTGGCATAATGTTCTTAACATACACAACTAAAATTCATGACTTTTCTTGTCTGTGCTTTAATCTTTGAAAAATTACTTTCACGTTCAGGTGATACTTCAATAGTAATATATGCTATGCTTATTCATGCCAAAGTGTAAACTCCACGAGTGTAAAGTCCTTGGATAATTTTTATGTAAAATTTTCATTTTTAATATCATGAATTAGCACGTCCAAAATAAACATGAGTTAGAAGAATGGAGACTCAAATGACAAAAGAACTAAAAGAAAATAGATTTCCCTTTTACTGTCTTTTTTTTTTTTG